GTTTCGTTTCCTGAAAACGAATATGAATGTATAATACAGCGGTGGCTAAAAATTAAAGACCACTCATTTTTTAGTTGGTTTCTTAATCTTTAAATCAAAATTAAGAAGATTCTAATTGACATATTAAAATTTCTTTTTTTAATATCTTGTTAATTAAAACATACGGATTAAAATGGTATAATTTTTTTTAATAAATTAATTAAAGAGCGTTTAACTTATTAAAAAACTGATGAGTATTTATAAATCTTCTTTAAATAAATTGGACAAAATTTAACGACCACTTTTAATAGGGGGGTCCAAAATTCTATATTTCTTGTTTAACCAGTTATGCTTAAATAATTTTTTGAGAAAAGTTTAAAAAACAATTCAGTTTTTGCTAATTTTTTATGGTTGACCTTCTATGTCTATTTTAAAAATTTAAAGATATAAAAAATAAAAATCTTTGAAAAAGTTTCTTTGCGTATAAAGTTACGCAACTTTTCTTTTCAAATTTATGCTATTCAAATTTTGATTGGATAAATTTGATTGCGTTTTAGAAAAAAAAAAGTTTTATCTGAAGTCTCTTTCAAAACAAAAAGTTTTAAGGAATCAAAAAGAAAGATTGCTTCAAAATATATTAATTTCCTTTTTTTTTTATTTATTTTTAATCGTTATTTAAGCTATCAAGAAGGCTATTCAAAATTTCTTTTTTTTTTTTCACTTTTCTTTAATGAAGTCAAGAATAAATCTTCTTTTAAAGTGCCAGTCAGTAGAAGTTCAGTTAGATTCTAAAGTTTTAACAATTCTAAAGATAAACAGGCTAAAGGAACACCGCTACCTAAAAGGCTTTATAAAAAACAAACTGGGTAAACAAATTTTGAAATTTTCTGTTTTACTCTAAAACGCAGTGAATAGCTAGTTAAAAAAAATTTTAGAAGCAGTTAATAAGTACACCTCAAAGAGGTTGAATAATTGTATCATTCTTGCTGAGTGTTTTGGCAAAAGTTAGCCTCAGGACTTCAAAAAAACGAAAAGTATTATGTGTTTGGTTGATGATGGAATATGATTAGTATTAACTTTCTAATTAAGTTGTTGCAGTTGGAAAGCTTTGGAAAAAATCCATTTAATTTCAACAGTAGATGTATACTTAATTATTTAAACCATATAAAAAATGAAGGTTATCGCAGTTTAAAAATAATTTGGAGGATTATTGTTCAGTTATTTGTCCAAAAAGTTGAAACTATGGAATAGTTTCAACTTGTCGCGGTTGTCTATTCTGTTTAAATACATGTCTATTCTGTTTAAATACATGAAATACTCCGATTGTCGCGGAGGTCTATTCTGTTTAAATACATGATTGTTGATATAAAAAAACAAACCTCTATCCTATGTCTACCAAAGTACACGCATATAACCTAGATTTTATATAAGGAAAGTTCACGCAGCAAAATCTATCACATATGACTTTTATAGTTATTTTCAATTTTCAATTGTAAATAACAAACTGTATGAATTATTTTCATATATAATGTATAATTTTTTTTGTTACTTTTAAATGATAAGGTATTAATTAAGATAATAATTATTGATAAATTAAACAGAAAAAGATTTGGACTTTTCTTCTTTTCTGATATTTAATGAAAATAATAATTTTATCTATTTTTAACAATGCCTTTTTTTTGTTAATATATTCACTTTTATGAAAATTGAAGTAGAAGGCTAAATAATTAAAACAAAAAAAATGATTATGATTTTCAGAATTAGCATGAAAAACTAATTAAGAAAAACTTACCTTTCTTTAAAAGCATTATATTATCACAAAAAAAAAGTAAACTGGTTTTTTGATTTTTGTCTTAAATGATTCACAAACTAGTATATTTTCAAAAAAAAACTCAAGGCTATCACTAAAAAATTTAAAACTTTAGAATATAGACTAAAATGTAAGCACAGGTTAAACATCGCCTAAAAAATAGATCATAAGCAATAAAAAAACTAACAATATAAGTTTTTCCTGCATAAGTAAATAATAGAAGATATGTAGTACTAAACAACGAATGAAATAAATACCAATAAAAAATTAAATAAACAGTTATCAGTAAAAAATTGATAATTATGCTATTATTAATCAAAAGGTTTCATAAGTCTTTTTTTCATTGTAAAATAATAAAAGAATTTTTTGATACAATAAAAACAATGATAAATGTATACATAAACAGATATATCAAAACCAGTGAACCCCGCTGCTGGATTTGTCACTAACATACATAGTAAACTATACCTTCGCACAGCTGTAATGAATATATATAAAACCACACACAGCTGTAATGAACATATATAAACACCACAGTTGTAACTATCTTTTTGTAAGCAATAATTTTGTGTTGAAATAACATTTCGTTTTAATATGTTGAACTTACGCCTAAAAATATCTTTGGCAACATGCAACTAACTTATCATAAGATGAATTATTAGATAAAATATTTGAAGATAGTGGATCAAGAATAGCTATTTCTTCTGTTTTTACTTTAAGATGTAATAATATCTAACGTGAATTAGTTGCATTAAATGGAATAAGAACTAGATCTATATTTTCAGTGACAACATCTTTCTACAAAAACTTTATACTTCTTGAATAGCATATTGCTAATGCTTCTGTTTGCACACAATACTTCATAAAAGATTACTTTTTTTCTAGACAACGCAGGAAGCTTCCAATAACTTCATCTTGAAGCTTTTTGAAATTGAAGATTGTTATTTTGCAACTTTTGCAATAACTCTGAAGAAACTGTGTTTTCGAGCGTCAAGAGAGAAAAAAAGAAAGTTGGTGAAGACTATGTCTATAAAAAAATAAAGTAATATTTAAACAGATACTCTTCTTTGTGCTTAATTAATTTCAAATTTTGAACATTTGGCTGCAGTTTTTATAATAACAAAGAGTTCTATTTTTTCTACACTGCTTGTCAGCAAACTTATTATTATGCATAAGCAACATATGCCTTTTTAAACTATCTTTTCTAGTAAACATCCTCATGCAAAAAAAGCACGTAAAACTTAAAAATAAAATTTTGATTAAAGTATGTTTAAAATATATATATTAAAGACATGTGCATTAAAATTCCATTTAGGTGATTTCCTCAAGCTCGGATGACCATCAGATAAAATAGTTAAAGTATCAAACAAAGATGCTATGCATATATAAAAAAAAAGATAATTTAATATTATCAAATTATTTGAACAATCAAATGTTTTAGTAGGATAATGCCTGATCACCGACTGTTATATTGAGCCCTTATGTCTAAAGAGAAAGATTTTTTCTTACAAGAAGTAATTTCTATAAGGGGAGACATACACATTTGAAAAAATTTCACAAAGAGCCGGACTTTGTTTCACAAGAAATTATTATCATTAGGGGAGAATTACACATTAATGAAAAGTTAACAAAGAGAAAGATTTTGTCTCACAAGTAATAATTCCATAAAGGAAAGACTTACACATTTCAAAAATCTTTACAAAGAGTTGGACTTTGTCTTATAATAAATAATTTTTATTAGGGGAGGCTTTAAGAGTTGAACTCAAAAAAAAGAATAAGTTTATTTAAAAAATAAATTAAAAAAAACACCTGATAAATACTTTTCTTTTTCTACTTTTGCATTTAATTTTACATCAATTTTGCTTTCACTTGAAGACATTTCAGTTTGGTTTTAGGTTTTTAGCTAAGTTAAGCATAAGAATAATTTTTCGCAATTTTGAAGCGGGTCAAAATACGGGCTAATATTTTTGCGTGTGTAATTCTCCCCTATGTAAAATTCTTATTTTAAAGTTTAATACTTTTACTTAAATCTGTAAATTTTTTAAACTCTAAATTTTTTGAATCAGTTAATTCAACGTAAATCTTATCGTAATTTTTACTTACAAACTCGACAGCTTTGTTTAATTCTGATTAGGGACCGGCGAATATTCGTTAAAATTCGGATAACGAAGTTTACTGAAAAGCAAAGTTGACTTCGGCTTCGACTTCGGTGCCAAATTTGAAAGGGGAATTCGGCTTTCAGTTAAATTTGGTAACAATTGCAAAATTTCATATAACTTTCACTTAAATAATTTTTTTGAATTTTAATAATAGTTATTTTTATTTTTTTTTTAATTTTAGAAAGTCAAGTTTTAGTCTTTATCACTAATTAGTACTTACTTAACACTTTCAAAAAATCATAATGTTAACAAAAAATGGAAATATTTAACATAACATTTTTCACGATCTTTTTCCTTTACAAAATTGACTTTTGAAATTTTATAATGAAAATCGCTAAAGTTTTTTTGTTCGTAGGAGTTGTAAAGATTGCAAAACCTAAGTTCTCATTATTCAGCATTTTTAGATAATAACTTATTATTTTTCAACGCAAATTGTTGTATTTTGTAAACGTGTTTTTTTTGTTTTAATGAATATAAAATTACTTTGTTTCACTTGAGTTCGTTATATTTTGAAATATGGTTAATTGCGAGCTAAAAAATATTAATTTTGGTTTATAAAAATTGATTATTCCAAAACTTTCATTGTTTTTATAAAAACATCTTAATGTTTTGGTTCGCAAAAAAAGTTCAATACAAAGGGCAACGGTCCATTTTGTTCTTTGTGTTTTGTTTTTATGAAGTTTTTTAGTTTTTGTTAACTTATGAAAATTTTGATTGATAATATTACAAACGTAACTAATGATTGTAGTATGGGTACAGGTCTGTTGTATACATAACTATTGTTTACATAATGTGTCTATTATCAATCAAAACTTTGATAGTTAAACAAAAGTTACCTTTAATTAGATTTAAATTTTAAATAAGATTTTGTAGCATTTTTTTAAAAATCTAATTATGTGTTAAATACCCGATAAAAATAAATGATCAAAAGGAATAATAATTAAGTTTACATTTAGTTGATTGTTAAATGCTGTTTCTATTTCCATCTTCAAAAAGTAACATTTGTGACTAACTTAATATTTCAGTAAACTTTAAAAAAAAATTGAACTTGGTTAATTAGATATTTTTATTGTGGGCCTTTTAATGCATCATTTACGGCTAGCTGTAAAGTGTGGACAGCACATCTTTGAAGATGTATAACACTTATGCTACTGGCAACTCCACTTGCCAAGACTGTTGCTGCATTGTCTGCTTTAGAATAACCATCTTCGTCAAATTCATTAGTTTCTACTGAAAAATCGTCTTCGTTATCTACAGTTTCCTAAACGGTGCTGATGCCAAAGTCGCGCATCAACTTTATATTCACCTAAAGATATTAAATATGATTTCAATAGTTAATTTAAAGTTTAGTGAATATACTTTACAGTATACAAAAGATTTTATCGAAACAGTTTAATTTTTAAATGATTTTACGGAAAATAATAACTTTAATCACATAATTTAAATTTTTTTTTCATTAAGAAAAAATATAGTGAATTTAAAAATATGTTACTCACTGCTGCGTTGTCAACAATAAGGCCTTAAATATTAGTTTTATTGATTCCAATATTATCTAAACACTTCTCAATAATTTTTTTGTGTATTCCGTCGGTATTCCGTTGTTTGTTTTCCCTTCGTATCAATGATGTCAAGATTGATCACAGCAATTTCATCATTGTTCGAGTATTGCGCATTTATACCGAGGTAGTGACGCATATGCCTTGATGTAGAATCGACTATCAAATAAATTAGCATTTTCGATCATTTGTTTGTGATTTGTTCGCAATGCTTTTTGGTATGATTGATAGTTTGAATTCTCATACTATCTCTATTCATTTTAAATCCAAAATGAGATAAAACTTCTCCGCAAAGCTTTTGAATAGGTTCCCGATCAAACGCCTATAGATATTGTTTTTAGAATGATAAATGTTTATTTAAAAATGCCAAAAAAACGTATAGTTATTTAGATTTTTTTTTCATTTAAAAATAATTACTGACAAAAAAATAAATTGAATCTGGAATGAAAGACCTTTAAACGAAACTAGCTGGTTTAAGGCTTCTAAAAACTCATCTTTTGTAATATGCAAACTAATTTGCTGTGGTACAAAACACTTTAATATGGATTGCTATGAAGTGCTGTCTTTGATGGCTGTATATTTTTGCTTCTTATTCTTTTCTTCTATTTTTTTTCTAATTTTTTTTTTCTAACGTAATGAGGAGCTACGCATGTTTTCTAGATAAGTGTCGTATTAGGTTGCTAATGCGAGCTTTTGCGGCACATGTAATTTCTTTACCGCATAACTCGTTGCTTTTACTTTGTTCGGGTACAAGACATTTGAAGCATACTACTTTGCATCCATTCAAAACTTTATTTGTACGATAAAAGTGTCTGTAGATCGTATCTGACGCATAGTTAGTGGCCATTACTGGTCAACATTGTTACACGCGAGTTAATAGCAAATATTATTATAAAGAAAGAATGTTGTTGTTGCAAGTTATTGTGAACATGTAAATTATTTTCTTGTGTTATATATGCTTCGCAAAATTAATTTTTTGTAAAACAACCCACAAAAACATAATTAGGAAAGCTGTTACAATGACTAGTTATGAATCGATGAGGTTAGTAGTTTTTCTGTAAAAGAAACTGCTGCGCAAAATAATTTTTATTTATTTGTTGAGGTATTTTTATAAGCTTTTTTTGGCTTCTTTCTGACCTAGATGGTACGTTTTTTGCCAACTGACTACATCGTTAGATTGATTTTATAGCGCAAACTCACAGAAAAATTTGTTTTTTTATTGCATATAATTAATTTGTTAGTAAAATTTGATAGCTTTTCGTATCTAAACCATATTGCTTTCATTGCAACTTTTCATTAGCGTTATTAAAATAATTTTTTTAATTTTCTTAGCAGAGTAGATTGAAAAACAAGTACATAATTATACTATTTCACCCCATTTTGGTTGAAATTAAAAGAAATAAATTTTTTTTTTTCTGATAGTATTTACAAGCTTCACTTATTTATAAGTATAGTTTCCTACTATAGTTCACAGTTTTAAACAGTGAAATTGACTTTGGTAAAATATTCATCTACTGTTCATAACCTCGTTAATCATTTCTAATCGACTTTCTTTCTATGATTAATCTAAGAAATTAAAGATAACAAATAAACTTTATGCATAAAAGCAACTTCAACACTAAAATACCATTTATTTCTAAATTTGATAGAAGTTAAAAAAAATTAAACAACTAAGCTTTCAAACATATCCTTTTCTGCATGTCCAATGGCGATTTTGTGAAACAAATGAGGAAAAGAAATCCTTCAAAAATGACGAATGTCTTATGAAAAATAATTAAGTGTAAGTCGAATGTTAACTTCTTCTCTTTTTATGAAAATCGCTCCCGGGTCTCGAATTTGATGATGAGAAAATACTTGATAATGAAAATACAAATATTCTAATGGACAAATTTATTCAGCATGATGCAAAGTTTCATAAGTAGTGTTACAATAAATTTAGCGATATGAAATTAGAAAGAGCTGAAAAACATGTACTTCTAAACCAACTAGAGTACAAGAAGAAAGATGATGGTGTTGAGCATAATTTTTTTTCAATCAGTCAGCTACCAAATAAGAGAGCTTCTTTAAGAGCAGCTTGTGAAACCATTTATAAATGTTTTTTTTTTGTGAAAGCTTTGACGGTGCACTTCATCGAGTTTCAAAATTTGAATAAGAAAAACGTGTTAAAAAGTGCGCCACTATCCTTAAAGATAGTACTTCGTTAGGTTAGCTTAGTGCTGGTGACATGATAGCCCAAGATGCTACGTATCACTCTACTTGTCTGCTAAGTCTCTATAGAAGATATAATAGAAAAGAGTCCGATAGAATTTCATGCAAAAGTTCTGAAAAACAACTCGATTTCCAGGTTCTTGTTGAATTTAAACAGTATTTGATTCAACAAGCGAAGGATAAAGATAACCGTGTCTTTAAATTAGTTAACCTCGCTATTATATACCAAAAAAGGGTTACTGAACTTGGCGGAAACACTTCTGAAAGGATCCTCACAACAAAATTCAGGTCAGGTCAGGATAATCAAGATCAATCTTGCTACTGGTATCACGTAACCCAGTACCACCTGCCACAAGCCCTGCTGCCTTGCAGAGTGTGCTCTTCTTAGGCAAAGGCTAAGAGAAATAAAATCCGACTAAAAATTCCCCTGCCTTGAGGCTCTTGGTTGAGTAAAGGATAGAGATGGTGTCTCGATAAAAACACTCATCTTGGGCAGATGTTAACTGCATCCAGCTACTGTCTTGTAGAAGGCCTCTTAGGCAAAGACTTTAAGGGGTAAGCAGAAAAATTCTGCTAACCAGCCTCGAACCCCTTCTTCATCTATTAGGCTGGCGTAGATGTAACCTGTGTTACATTGTTTCCTGCCTAGGATGATGAATGCTGGATCTCCTTGACTCAACTCATAGAAATTTGCTTATGTCTCCTTGATAACGGCTATGCAACTCTTCCTGTTATCTATATATGAGGGTACAGCTCTAAAACTCAGTTTAATGGTTCTGAGGCCGGCTGGTAGTAAGGTTTCCCGAACTCTGTGGTAGCTCTCAGAGAGGCTGATTCCATCAACAGCTGCAAAATATCAAAATATTAACAGTGCCATGTTGCGCATGGATAGTGTCCCTGTTAATGCTTTTGGTGTGCATTGTCAAGGCCACATAAGGAGCCCTATGTCACGGCTTAGGGTTAATTAACAGGACTGAGACAACTGCATAGCTCATTGATTAGGAGGCTGTGCTCTATCTATGAACGAGTCAAGTTCTCATAAAACCCAAATCATGACCAAAGTAACCAAAAATTTAAAACCTAAAAAACCATCCCCACAACCTAAATATTTTAATATATCTTTTACAAATATTCGTGGTCTACGAAGTAACTTTCCATCAGTTGAGTCCTCCTGCAAAATTCACCAGACTTGCTTGCACTTAGTGAAACAAATTTAAATTCTGCAATTCCTTCTTCAGATGTCAGTGTTGATGGGTACTATCCTTTGATTGGTAAAGACTCAAATAGTCACATGCTAGGTTTAGGGGTATACAAACGCATTAATTACCCTATTTGTCGTGAAATCAGGTTCGAATCCTTTGACCATTCTTTTATGTGCTTTCGCCTAGCACCTCTTCACTCTATTACCTTTCTCTTTGTTCTTTATCGTTCTCCTTCTTCCCATGATTGCACTCTCTTAGATGTTATCTCTGATCAAATTAACCATGCCCTCTCTCTTTACCCCTCTGCCAATATTGTTATTGTTGGTGATTTTAATGCCCATCACACTGAATGGCTTAGCTCTAACACCTCTGATCCTGCTGGCACTAAAGCCTTTAACTTCTGCGATTCTCAATCTCTTACTCAGATAGTTAACTTTGTGACTCGTTTTCCTGACAACCCTAATCATTTACCATTACTCCTTGACTTATGTCTTGTCTCTGACCCTAGCTTATGTTCAGTTTCTCCCTTTTCTTCCTTAGGTGGTTCTGACCATGCAATGATCTCTATAAATCTTTCTTCTCATACTTCTTTTTTGGGCTCACTTTATCATCGCACCACCTACTACTACCCTAAAGCTGACTGGGATTCTTTTCGAGATTTTCTTCGTGATGGTCCTTGGGCTGATGTTTTTTCTCTCTTAGCTGACAAATGCGCCTCCTACATAACCTCCTGGATTCAGGCTGGAATGGAAGCCTTTATTCCTTCGCATCGGTTTCAAGTCAAACCTCATTCTACTCCATGGTTTTCTCCTTCTTGTGCGGCTGCTATATCCAATCGTAATCATTTTTTTCATCTTTTTCAAAAGAACAACTCTCTTGAGAACAAACGGCTATTTATTATTGCAAGAAATCGATGTAAAAAGGTGCTTTCTGATGCTAAACTCCATTATTCTCAGTTCACTAAATCTTGCATCTTATCGCAGAAGTTAGACTCTAAAGACTTTTGGAAAATCTTCAACAGCATTATTAACAAGGGTAGATCTAACATTCCATCTCTCATTCATGGGATTGATCTTATTACCTCTCCCAAGGATAAGACAGAACTATTTGCAAAGAACTTTTCTTCTAATTCCTTTTGAATCTTATGGACATTCTCTTCCTTCCATTTTAGTCAAACAGGTTGACCCATTGTTAGACATTCAAATCACTCCGGCTTCTGTTGCTAAAGTCAAATCTCAATTAAGCTCGTCTACAGCTTGTGGTCCAGACAACATTCCTGTTACAATCTTGCAGAATTGTTCTCTAGAACTTTCTTCAATTCTCTCTAAACTATTTAACAAGTGTTTGACTGAGTCTTGTTTTCCTGCTTGTTGGAAAATGGCATCTGTAGTTCCAATATTTAAAAACTCTGGAGAAAATTCTGACCCCTGCAATTATCGTTCGATCAGTCTTCTTTCTGTTATTAGCAAGATCTTTGAGTTTTTGATCAACAAACTCCTCATATCTCATCTTGAGTCAAATAAACTACTATCAGACAATCAATACGGTTTTCGATCCTCTCGCTCTACGGCTGAGCTGCTAACTGCTGTAACTGAAAGATTTTATCGTGCATTAGATGGAGGCGGTGAGGCTAGGGCTATTGCTCTCGACATATCTAAAGCTTTCGACAAAGTTTGGTATGCTGGTCTTCTCCATAAACTTGCTTCATATGGTGTTTTTGGGAAAGTTTTTGAGATTATCAAATCATTTCTTTC